GCCCATGTTTCATCTCTGTCCTGTCCTTCTGCTCTCTCCCTACCTCCACTAGAATGAAACCATGCACATACTCCTTGAGACCAGAGCGTTTATATCCCTAGCACCCAGTATTTTTCATATAGCAGGTACTTAATTTTGATTGCTGAAACCTAGCAAGATATCTTGGGTTGTTTTTTTTTTTATCTTCCTTCCTTATTTATTCTATCATTTGAAAAAAAAACTGGGACAATTAACTCTTTTGCACCATGTACTTTCATTTATGATTTCTTGAAATACAGCATTAGAAAATCAGGCTTTGATAAAACCCACTGGGATTCAAATAGAGCTGCTTGACCATGCCTTAAATCCAAATCACTCTGGCTTTCACTGATTGGCCATCATGAGCCTCACTTGGTAATTGTTTGGGTTTTGATGGCTCTGAGTGAGTGTAAATAGCAAGTGTTTCTGTTTTGGCCAGACACCCTGAGGGCCTTCCCCTCCCAGATAGATTTTTTTTTTTAACTAGGTAAAAGAGGCCATTTTTTTTTTGCCTCATTTCTTACTTAGCCTTAATCACTGAAACTGACAAACTGAGACCTGGGAAAGATCTTAACTTAAAAATGCCAAGGTCTCCCACTGCATCTGAGGCCATCCCCCGTCTTCCTGATTTATACGTTGGCACTGGGTCCAGATGGTTTGGGAAGAGAGAATGAAATTGGTGACTTTGCACAGCCCTGTCCCACTTAAATCTAATTCACTTGCAAGTCAAGACGTCACCTTCCTGGTGTCATTGGTCCTCTTCCAAAACAAAGGATAAGCGACAACAGATGCTTAATAAATGCTTGTTGAGCTGAACTGAGATGGTAAGAATAATGACAGCTAACATTTATATAGCACTTACCATGTGCCAGGCACTGCTAAGCACTTTACAAATATTATCTCATTTTATCCTCATAACAACTCTGGGAGGTACATGTTTTTAATAGGTCCATTTTACAGATGAGGAAAAGAGTCAAACAGAGGTTAAGTGACTTGCCCAGAGTCATGCAGCTAGTAGGTGTCTGAGGCTAAATTTGAACTCAGGTCTTCCTGTTTCCAGGCCTAATGTTCTGTGCATCACAGTGCCACCTAGCTGTCTTTGTGACATGGTATGATGAAAAGACCACTGGATATTGAGGTGCCGAAGCCGTAGGCTCAAGTGCTGCATAAGACACCAGCTTGCCTGTGACCATGATTATGGTCCTCTGGGAAACGTTTAAATATGAAAAACAAATAGGTAAATGAGGGAGGCATGGGGTCTAGAGAGAAAAAGAAAGTTTTTTTCTTCTGCAAAATGAAGAAATGAGATGATCTATCTCTAAGGTGTCTTCCAACTCTAACATTCTGTGGAAGATTCAGACACCACAACTGAAGAATAATTTTGGCTCAATATATAAGCAAATGGGGTACTGAGTGTGCACACAAAAGGAATTCAAAATAACAGAAGGTGGGGTTAACCAGGGAGGGCTTCATCTAAAAAGAGAGTTTCAATCTGGGTCTTACAGGAAGTGTAGGAATTGGATGAAGGGAGAAAGATGGCCCTTTTTTGGGATGGGAAAGCAACAAGGGAAAAAACATAGAGGCAGGAACGAGTGGAAGTTATTGGGGATGGGAAGGAGAGCAGCCAGTTCGGTTTGGGGAATGGTAGGACACAAGTTTAGCTAATTAAGGTAGAGCAAAGTTTGCCTTCTTTCCGAGACCTCCTGCCACCACCAAGGCTGAATGTTGTGGATGTTTGCTAAGCTGCTGCTGTGAGTAGTGGAAGTACAGGAAGAACCAGTGGCTTAGAGAGAAGAGATTTTTCAAATGGTTACTGTAGGCATGAACCACAAAATTGACAAAAGGTGAATGGCTAATAATACTTGACCTATCAGGACTTAAGTATCTTTCAGATTTACCAGCTAAGAACCAGAAAGTAAGTAGCCAAACATTATAAAATTCAAGCACAAACATGGTTCCTAGGAGAATTCTCAGTCTCTTGCTCAGAGACCATTTACTTTTATCTCACACATAATTCTAACTAAGTTGGTTATCTGATTTTCTGGCTCACAGATAATTATAAGCAGCAAATGAAAAGGGAGAGAGACTTCTAGTGGTAGATACACTGACAAGTAGAAGTCACAGCTGAGAGTCTGACAGCAAGGGCAGAGGGCTCCGATGGAATGAGGGGCTTGGGGGAGGGAGAGAGAGTGAGAATGTCAAAAGTGGCCTGTGACTGGAAAAGCCTAGCAGTCTTAGGCCATTTAATGATGGGGCCAACAGCCCTATGCATCTCAATAGGACCTGTGTGCACAGCCCAGTGCTGGATGTTCAGAATGAGCATCCTGGTCCCTCCTCAGTTCTGCCTCATAGCATTCCTCTCCTTTCAAGACACAGATCAACAAAACCAGGAGAACATTATACACAGTAACAGCAACATTGTGCAATGACCAACTGTGATAGACTTAGCTCTTCTCAGCAATACAAGGATCTAAGACAATTCCAAAAGATTCATGATGGAAAATGCTGTCCATATTCAGAGAAAGAACTATGGAGTCTGAATGCAAATTGAAGCATACTATTTTCTCTCTCTCTCTCTCTTTTTTTTTTTTGGTTTTTTTCTTTCTTGTGGTTCTTTTTTTTTGTCCTGATTCTTCTTTCACATTATGACAAATGCAGAAATATGTTTAATATGATTGTACATGTATAACCTATATCAGACTGCTTTCTATCTTGGGGAGGGGAGAAAGGAGGGAGGGAAAAAAATTCAAACTTATCCTATAAAAGCGAATGTTAAAAACTATCTTTACATGTAATTGAAAAAAATAAAGTACTATTAAGTGGAGGAAAAATTTTAAATATAAAACAAAAAAAAGACATATCTCAAGACCTGCCTTCTACATGATGCCCACCAATTACTAATGTCCTCTCCCTCAAACTAACTTGTATTTATAATACATACACATATATGTATGTACATGCATACATACATGTATATAAATATCCATATTCATATACACACAGAGAGTGAACTAAAAATTTATATGTATATATGTATGTATGTATGTGTATATGTGGAAATATATAGAAATATGTGTATATATTATATATACACAGATATATCTATATCTCCCTGCTGTCTTCCTCCTTAGATAGTAAGCTCCTATCAAGTAGATTTTATTCCATTCCTTGTATTTCTATCCTTAGCACCAAGCACAGTGCTAGGCACACAGTAAGTGCTTAATAAGCATTTGGTGATTTATGAAGAAAAAGTTAACATCTGGGTTTAAGAAGGCAGGGAGGGGTCTAACACATTTAAGAAAGATTTCATCAAAATGGTTAAAACAAAAATTGTAGTGCTTGAGAGAACAATGTCAAAAACCCCTCTAACTAGAACAACTCATCCCCTAAGGGTTCTAGATAGCAAAGGTTTTACAGTAGTACCACCATCTGGAAGTGTCCAGGGCAACGGAAGTATGGGATTTTTTTCACCATGACTTCATAGTAGAACTGAGGCTCGGAGACAAGAGCAGAGGATGGTGTAGATCCCTGTCCCAGACCTAGCGACTGGGAGGTTGGGCTTGCTAAGGAAATCCTATAAGCAATTCATATACGAATGTGGTTTATAGTAACTGTTGTAGGCACCACATCTTAAGCTTGGCATTATACATAAAGCACAGACCTTGAGTCAGGAAGACCTGTGTTGAAATCCTACCAACTCAATTCAACAAATTGGTGCCTTCTATGCTCCCAGCACTGAACAAAATGCTGAGGATATAAGAGAAGCAAAAGACAGTCCCTGCCCTCAAGAAGCTTACAATCTGTGGATAAGTTCCTTAACTTCTCTGAGCCTCACTTTCCCCATCCATCAAATGGGAATGATACTCCCCATAGTACCTTACCTCACAAAGCAGTTATAAGGCTAAAATGAAATAGGATAACTAAAACATTCTGCAAACATTAAAGTCCAACATAAGTGTCCATCATCATTACTCATTACCATTATCATCTAAATTCTGGCGAATTCCTGGAACAGAAAGTCAGTGGTCAAGAAGCATCTATTAAGAGCCTACTGCATGGCAGGCACTGTGATGACTGTTGGCACCATTTCTGCAATAAATCTCATGACCACTGGTTCAAAAGCAATCTCATCACCACATCTGAGCAAGTAAAAAGATCTGGGGTGGGGAGAAGAAAAAGGGACCCTGGAATCTAACAGGGTTCCCTGCAAGAGAAAGGTGAAACTGAGGGGGGAAATGGGAAAAGGATTTGGAGATGGGGGAAGGGAGTTGGGGTGAGGAGAAGGAAGTCGGGGCCAGCATCTAGTTCTTTGTATAGCACAGTCATGCTGGGGTTATTAAAGGGAAGAAGAATGAGACTCTATCTCAGCAGTGCAGGGCAGGAGTCATCAGCAGCGGTTATTAGAATCCTTTCCCCACCACTGAAAGACACTTATCGCTCTTCATCAGCAAGGCTCTCTCGATATGAAAAGAAAAATCAACTTAACAGGTGGGGCCTATCCTTTCTCTACCCCGGGAAAGGCAACTAGCGACTGTGTCTAGACAGTCCCCGAGCTCCACTAGTGCCTGTGCCTAGGGAGCCCCCCACCCCCAGTGTCAGAGGATCAGGGATGAAGACCTTCAGCCTCTACCAAGCCCCCCTGCAGGAGCCTGGGTCCATTATCAGTAAGGGCTATACAGATTCCCAAGTAGGAAATCTTCCAACTGAAACGCCATCACCTGAGTGCTATGTATGCCAATGAAGACAAACCGCAGCCGAGGGTCCCTAAACAAGAATTAATTAGGGTGGAGGGAGCACTGCGCGTGGCCGGAGCTTCCTGAAGGAGCCCCAAGTGGCAAAAAGCTCGTTGCGTCTGCCGTTGGCCCTATCGGAAAGATCCGATCTCCTGGGATTTAGCCAGTGTATCCAGACCCACCGAGGCCATGGCAATCCATACCCTTCGTAGAAACAGCAAATGTTAGTACGGAAAGGGAGCTGAGAGATCGTTTTACAAATGAGGAAGCCGAGGTCCGGCGCGGAGCGGGGGCCGTGGGGGTGGGGAGGGAGGACGGGAATGATTTACCCAAGGTCACACAGCTTGGAAGCGGCGGAGCTTGCCCCGAGGCCTATAATACCCACTGCTTCTTACAACCCTCGGAGATAGTACTCTTCGGCTTGTGCCTTGCTGCTCTGTGGCATTACGGGTCTGGCCCTTTGTCCACTTACTGGGCAGCAAAAGAAGACCCTGAGGTAACGTTTCTGTGCCATTCCAAGGCCCTACCTAGTACCTTCCCACTTCCCTTAAATCCACTAGCTCTTTCTGACTGTGCAGGGCTGCCTCCTTACCCAAAGCCCTATTCTCTCATCCTTTCCTTCTGGTTTTTTTTGGGGGGCGGGGAGAGTAGAAAGCGCAATCGGGGTTAAGTGACTTACCCAGCATAGTAAGTGTCTGAGTAAATGTCGAACTTGAACTTGGGTCCTCCTGACTCCAGGCTCAGTTCTCTATCTACTGTGCCACATAGCTGCCCCCTTTCTTCTTACCTTAGAGAAAAGAATCTTCACCTGAACTCAAGGTTTTAGTTCATAGACTCTGGACTTGATTGGGAAGACGTGAGTTCAAATCATGCCTCTGACACTTACTATCTGTGTGACTTTGAGTAAGTCACTTATCTTCTTTAAGTCTCAGTTTCCTCTTCTCTTAAAATAAAAATGGGGACAATACCTGGCAATCTAGTTGTCAGGTTCAAAAAAAAAGTATGTAAAGTATTTCACATTTTTAAAGCATTTTCAACTCTAGGGGAAGAAGTTTCTGCCACCAACGCACAGTAGCAACTGCTCTGCAATTTTAAAAAATTGAATTTTGTTTTTAAAAATTATCAAGCATTTATTTTTTTCCCCTTCCTTCCCCTCTGCAATTTAGTCTTGAGAGATGTTGAGGCACGGCGAGTAGAGTGATTTGCCCACACTCCTCCCATTAATATATGTCAAAGGTAGCACTTGAACCCAAGTCTTCCTGAACTCAAGGTCACCTCTCCATCAACTTCCTCTTGCCTTTAATAAATGCTTGTTAAATTGAAATTAATTTGATGAGCCAGTTTTCTATTTGCCACACAAAGCAGAAGTGGTGGTTTCTATGGTCATCATGTGCTACATTTTTCTTTCAACTGACTATAGGTTATAAGTGGCTATATAAATGCCTTTTCTTATTATTATAGTTATCTTCTCTAAGACTTTGCTCCTCCAATTAAATCCTTCCTCTCTAGCCTTTTAAATTTCTCCATTGGCTCCTTCTTCTTCAACTTCAAAATGCTCTAGGATCTGCTGTCTTGAAAAAAGCCCCTTTGAATGACGGGCTGACCCTTCTGGCTCCCAGGTCTAGCTAGTGCTGCCCTCAGGCTCTTCCCTTTCTCCCCTCCCCCTCTCTTTGTATGTGTAGCAGAAGCAGAGTTGTTTCTCTGTCGAGACTGAAGGGAATTGTGTTCTTGCCCCTCCTCTCAGTGAAGCAACTGAGGAGGAAGTCTTCCCCTGCCACTTGATGGAGGAATAATGGATGTTTCTGCTGGGCTCACAACCACAGGGAGCAGAGAGATGAACCAAACAACACGGAGACAGCAGCAGCCCAGCAAGTGGGGAGCAGTCCCTGAGGCAAGCCAAGCCGGGGACCTACATAGAGATGGTGCGATCGGGAGCCACGCAGAGAAAGGAGTTGCATGCATGAAGAGAGGAGCATGGGAAGAAGGCAATCCCAGACCCAGACTCAGTCCCTCACTGAAGTCTTCCATCCCAAGGCCATTGAGGATTACCCTCCAGCTACAGAGAGAGACTGAGTCTATGGCTAGAGTCATTAGTTTGGAGGATCCCGAATACTCTTGGGGTGGGAGATTGAAAGGATACTTTTTATGAATGCTATAATATGGCTGATTTGAGTTCATTACTTTCACATTTCTTTCTGCCATGATTAAATGCTTATCGTTCGATTCTGTTCTTTTCCTGAATCCATTAGCATGGTGCCCAACTGAAAATGTAGACTGGTACGATCTACAGTTCCCAATTTTAGTACTGGGTAGGGAGGGGGCAACATAAATAAATTGCCATTAGAAGTTCCCACAATTAGAACCCATACCTACGCATGTCCATAGAGGGAAGGATTCATTGACTACACATGCAACTAATTCCCTTTCCTTTTGCTGAACGCTTCTTTAACACGTCACCGGGATTTACCTGGACCATTGCAGTAGCCTCCAATTGCCTCCAATCTCTCCCCCTCCAAATTTCCACAGAGCTTCCAAAGTGACTCTGCTGAAGTGTGGGTCTGACTCCATACCAGTAACACCCCACCCTCGATAAACTGCAGTGGCTCCATATATCTCTAGGATCAAATGTAAATTCTTCCATCTGGCCTTTACAGCCCCTTCACAACCTGGCTTCTTTGTATGTATTTCCCATCTACTCATTTCCTTCTTAATCCCCACAGCATGGCTTCTACCACTGCACTGAAACAACTTGCTAATAGGTTACCCATGATTTCCTTGCAAAATTCATTGGCCTTTCTTGGTTCTCACGCTTCTCACAGTCTCTCTGCCTCCAGACACTCCCACTCCAATTCATCTTGCACAGTGGTACGAAGTACTCTTCCTAAGACAATTCTCATCATATGGCTCCCCTCCTCAAGAAACGTTAATGGCTCCCTATCGTCTATTTCATCATCTGAAGTCTTCTGCCTGATCCCTCTGCATCCACCGTACACAGGACGCTGAAGTGTGCTCTTCTAGAGTAAAATAATAATCCTCCAGTATTCACAGGGACTTGATGATTACCCCTAGGAGAGTATAGGGGGAACCCTGGGAGTATGGAACTCCCTTGGCACGTATGGGATTCTGGCACCTCATGATATCTGCTTTACCAGTCTGCTTCCCTCTGCACATACCATTTTCATGCAGGGAAAATCAGATTAAACTGAATATTAAGGCCATCCTTAAAGGGGAAAAGAAATGACAAGATAGGCTTGCAAGGGTCGTATCTGTAAAGGGGAGGAAATAGACCCACCTCTTGACCTTAATGATAGTGATAATGTTATGTGCTCATTAGAGTGTCCACATATTTTAGGGCTTACTGGTGCCAACTCTTTGGTTTTTGTTTTGTTTTTTTGTTGAGGCAATCATGTTTAATACTTGCCCAGGGTCACACAGCTAGTAAGTGTCATATGTCTAAGGCCAGATTTGAACTCAGGTCCTCCTGACTCCAAGGCAGGAGCTCTAACCACTGCACAACCTACCTGCCCCTGGTGCCAACTCTTTTATCCCATCTCATGTCAATGCCCAGCTGCAGGAGGGGAAGGGGAACTAAAAGAGGTTCTTTGTCTATTCAGCAAAGATCTATTGAGTACCTAAAATGTTCATGTCATGGTTGTGGAGAAGGGGAGGAGTCATAGACCTTGCTTTTTTAATAAGGATGAGTTATAGCTTTTCAATTAAGCACTTTAAAAACCTTTATTTCATGCCTTTTATGAGGAAGACATTATACCAGATACTAGGGATACAAGACAAAGATGCAACAGTCTCTGCCCTCAGGGAGCATACATTCTGGAGCAGGGGCAGAATCTTATTCTGTGAAGTCTGGATTCAGCCAAAGGGCCACATTTGAGGACCTAGAGGCCCACATGTGGCCTCAAGGCCGGAGATTCCCCACCCCTGTTAGGGTAAGACATACTAAGATATACACAAATAAGAATGAAAGAATGTGTGACCTGTGGGCCCCCTCAGTCTAGGTGCTCTAGTTAGCTATGTCAGGTTATAGGTTAGAATCCTTCCCACATCACAGCTCATGAGCCCCCATCAGTGCATTTTGTGCACTTTACCATTCAGCCATAGAACACAGTTTCACTAAATATCAATGCCAGACATTTCCTTTTCCTCTTTGCCAGCAGAAAACCAATTCAGCCAGTCCTGATTGGGAATCCTTCCAACTTTCACATTCATCCCTGCCTTGGGTTAGTTTCAGGACAAGTCCCCAATGTAAAATTTTTAAAATGTAAATATAACATTGCCCTAGTAATCCCTGAGCCTCTTCTCCCATGAATACAAACACACTCAGTGGGAAGAGTGGGACTTTAAAAGCTAAATATGATGCAGATACATTTGGGGAATGCATTTAGCCAGGGCACCTTCATAAACATGTAACCAGGACATATATTCATGGAGTGGAAACTCAAGCCTCTGACACTTCAAAGATGCTGGTGTCTTCTACTGACAGCATTATGTAGCTCTCTGCTGCACTCTGCTAAATGTTCTCAGATCCAATTGACTGTCAGCACTGGCTGTTCTCAGGAGAGAATGGGTTCCAAGTATGGGAAATGGCTTGTGCAAATACATAAAGATGGGAAATGGATTCATGAGTTTGGGAAACATCTAGTAATTAATTCTTGCTGGTATGTAGAGTTTACAAAGGGAAGTCATATGGAATAAGGCTGCCATGACCTTGGATATGACTTGCAACATTTCTAGTCCTCAGGTTTCCTAGCTATAAAATGTGTTGTCTATGATGACATAAGCATGGAACTGTGCTCTAAATAGGAGTCAGATTGTGGCAGGCCTTAAATGCCAGGATAAGAGGTTTGCATTTTAATTCAGGAGACAATGGGGAACCAGTGATGGTTTTTGAACAGGGGAATGATATATAATCAGACCTGTTGGGGTCAACTCTAGTTATAAGAAATGATTCTCAAAGTACAATCCATGAGGTTTCTTAAGGATGACAGAAGGAGTAGAGGGTGGCCTATCATTATATAATATATATATATATATATATGTATGTATGTATGTATGTATATGTGTATATATTCAACAAACATTGATTAAGCTTCTTCCAGTCACCCTGGTTTACAAGCTCAATGTTGAACCTGATTCCTCACTCTCACCCTCACTCATCCTACAGACCCAATCAGTTGCCATATTACCTCCACATCTCTCATGTGCATCCACCTCTTTCTACTCACACAGCCACAACCCTAGTTCAGACTGTGGTCGCCTCTCACCCGGACAATTGCCATAGCCTCCAGTTCCCTCAAATCTCCCCTCTCCTATCAATCTACACAGCTGCCAAACTGATATTCCTGAAGAGCAGAGTTGGCCACGCCATTCCCCCTCCTCAACAAATGTCAATGGCTCCCTATAACAACTCAGAGATCAAATATGAACTCTTCTATTTGGAATCTGAACTTCTTCACCACCCGGCCCCATCCTCACCTTCTGCTTTATTACAACATTGCCCTCCTTCATGGTCCATGGAGGTCCATGGACGGATGGTCCAGCCAAACTGGCCTTGCTGTTCCTCATATTTAACATTCCACTTCTTGATTCTGTAGGCCATCCCTTATGCTTAGAATGCGTTCCCTCTTCACCAGTGCCTCTTGAAATACCTGGGCTCCTTCACAACTCAGTTTTGAGGCTATCCTCTGAATGAGATCCTTCCTGGTCCCTCCAGGTTCTAGGACCTCCCCTTCCCCCGAGGTTACCTTTGTTTCCTATGTACCTATAGATATGTGTGTTGTCTCCCTGTGTGCCTACATATGTAGGCATGCTGTCTTGCTATGTACTTATATATGTGCATGCTGTTCGCTACGTACTTATATATGTACATGTTGTCTCCCTATGTACCTATACATACACGTGTATTGTCTTCCTATGTACCTATATATGTGTGTTATCTCCCCCATTAAAATGTAAACTCCTGGAGGACAGAGGCAGATGTGCTTTTGAATTTGCAATTAGCTAATTGTACTAGCACCTAGCACTGTGCTTGGCATATAGGAGTTTAATAAATACTTGTTAGTTGCCTGAAAAGCCTACTTTTACTATCTACATTATGCTAAGCTCTCAGCAAGATATAAGGGTAAATAAGATCTAGCCCCTACACAGTTATATAATTATAATACAAATGTAACATTCATGTTCCATTCACTCTGGAATTCCCATGGCTTACTGGGTTAAATATAAGGGTAAGATATGATTCAAGCCTCCATGCAGTATATACTCTACTAATAGAATAAGTAGGAACCATAAATCAAATGGCAAGTTATTTAATTGGGATAGACTAACAAAATAAATAAAAGGAAAGTCAAGCAGTAGAAACACTATCCGTGCCCCCATATACAAGTAAGTACAATTTCCCACAGGGAGAAGGGGAAGGGAATACATATTTATATGGCATCTGCTATGTGCCAGGCTTTTGGCCAGGCCAATGGGCAGCTAGGTAGCTCAGTGGATAGATCACTGGGCTTAGAATCAGGAAGATCCCTTTTCAGGAGTTCAAATCTAGCCTCAAACACTTCTTGGCTATGTGATCCTGGGCAAGTCATTTAACCCTGTTTGCCTCATTTTCCTCATCTATAAAATGGGCTGGAGAAGGAAATGGCAAGCTACTCCAATATATTTGCCAAGAAGACCCCAGATGGGCACAAGGAGTCAGACATGACCAACAACAGAATGTGCTAAGCGCTTTACAAATATCATGTGCCAGTGAGGGAGAGTTCAGAACTTCCTTCCTGAGCCAGTCCTGGTAAAATTCATGTTCTATAGCCATTCTGGAAAGTAATTTGGAACTATGCCCCTAAAATTACTAAGCTGCACACACAGACAGACTTGTAGATTCACCCTTCTCAATGGAAGGTCCCATGCCTTTACTCCTGAGTTAGGACAACTGAGTTACATTTACCTCTTCCCTGCCTCAGGTTGCCTTTCCGCATTCCAGCATCTTCCAGAGTCTACCTTCTTATGTATCATCTAGAGGTGCCCATGGTTCTCTTCCATTTACTCTGTATATCTTGTATGTGCCTGTTTAATTACATGTTGTCTTGCTCATGAGAATGTAAGCTCCTTGAGGGTAGGGACAGTTTTTTCCTTTTCTTGCTTATCCGTGTCTGACATATACTAGGCACTTCATATTTCAGATTGATTCATAATAATGATTCAGATTCC